TAACTGTATTTGAATAAATGTAGATTGTTGTATTATACTTAATAAAAATAAGACATCCCCTGAAAATAAGCCCTAGTGTGTCTTCTTGAGAAAAAATAAGTATAAGACAGTATCTTATTTTGGAGGAAACACAGTAAGTGACCAGCAAGAAAAGGAAAGAACAAATTTGTCTGATTTTTAATTTCTCCTCCAACCCCCCTCCCCCCAAAAAAGATGAACTCGCAGAGAATGTTCGATTAGGAAAATTAAATTCCTCTACCTCACCCTCTTAATGTTGAACTAAACTACACGACTATTCCCTCCACCCAGCCCTTTCTAGCATGTTTCTGGCCCCCTGAGGAGGGAACTAGAGTATCAACCGGCACCTCCCCTATCATCTCTCTCCGTGGTCCTTTGCCGAGAAGTGGTAGCTCCTGGCTGGATAGAAAATTCCATGAAGGTTAGAAGGTTTTTATTTAGGAAGCCACTGCAGTTCATTCAAATCAGATCTCAGTGACATGATTTGAGGCACAAAATTATCCAAACTAAGCGTCTGAGAGGAAGGAGCTGAAGGTTCTCATCATTAGAACCCTAATGCGAAAATTTTTTTTTGTTAAGGAAACAAAAGACAAGCAGTGCTTTATACCTGAGAAAGTTTGCCCCAGATGGAGCTCTCTAAATAACAGCAATGTAATTTAGGTGTTTTATACTTGGTTTTTTTGTGTTTTTCTTTTTGAAACAGAGCCTCACTATGTCACCCTTGGTAGAGTGCCCTGGGGTCACAGCTCACAGCAACCTCAAACTCTTGGGCTTCAGCGATTCTTTTGCCTCAGCCTCCTGAGTAGCTGGGACTACAGGTGCCTGCCACAGCACAGGCCACAACATCCGGCTATTTTTTGGTTGGAGTTGTAAATGTTGTTTAGCAGGCCTGGGCTGGGCTTGAACCCGCCAGCCTCAGTGTATGTGGCTGGCGCCCTACACACTGAGCTACGGGCGCCGAGCCAATACTTGTTTTTATAATAGAGAATTTAGAGGGTTTTAAACAATTTTCTATGCAGTATTTAGATAGGAAAACCTAGCAACTTTTCTTAAAACTCGTAATACATCATTTACTATGCTTTAGGTCACAGGTAAAGACAGAAAAAGAAAAAAGCTCCAAGTGGCTTAAATAAGAAAGGTCAGTTATTGGATCCTGTGACTTAAAAATCCAGATGAGAGGCAACTTCAAGTGGTGCCAGGTCACAGCCAGGGTGAGGGTGGCAGGAATGGCCGATAAGCAAGTTCCCGCCTGCTCTTCCTGTCTCGGGTCTCCCTCTAGTGCCCCCTACAGGCAGAGTCTAATAGACCAGGCTGGCAAAGCACCAAAGGGTGCCCAGGTCCAGAGTCACAGAACTGAGCCTAGTGGAGAGTCTGGCAGCTTAACAACGTATCACAGTCCCATAGATGTTATTTCAAAGTGGTGTTACATGAAGAGATAGAGAGAATATAGCCAAAAATTTAAGAAATGAGTATTATAGAGATATGTCATACCTGACATATCTATTAATAAAAACATTTATGTTATTTTTCTGAATTATGTGGCATGTTTACTATCTGTTACTTTCCTGTATTTTTTTTTTTTTAGACAGTCTCACTGGTCACCCTGGGTAGAGTGCCATGTCATCATGGCTCACAGCAACTTCAACCTCTAGGGCTTGAACAATCCTCTTGTCTCAGCCTCCCATGTAGCTGGGACTACAGGCACCCTCCATAATGCCTAGCTAGTTTTTCTATTTTTCGTAGAGAAGGGGTCTCACTCTTGCTCAGGCTGGTCTCAAACTCCTGAGCTCAAGGAATCCACCCACCTTGGCCTCCCAGAGTGCTAGGATTATGGGAGTGAGGCACTGTGCCCAACCTAAGAACAATAACTTTTTTTAATTTTTGGAGGTGAAGGGATATATTTTCTTCTCTCTTCAGTATGACAGCCTATATGTTGGTCTGATGGCCTCTGTGATTCTGCTTCAAGTTATTTTATATAACCAGTCTTCTGTAGAGGCTGATAGAACGAGTAACAGTAAGCTGGAATGGCCTCTTAGGTACACACATTCGCTTCAGGCTTTATATCAGAATTTCATCAGTTTTCAGTAGCAGAGATCTGGAAAATAGTGGCTTAAATGTACAAGGTTTTATATATCGTCATATAAGGAGGTCCTGGCTTCTCCTGCCCATTCACAGCAGCTCTATCAGTCATCACTGACCAAGGTTCTTCCTGCTCCCCTATCTCTTCAGAATAGCCCTGCCTTCCAAGGTGGCTGCTGGAGCTCCAGACACCACTTCCCCAGCCCAGGAAGCAGAACAGAGAAATAGGAGGGAAATATGCCCTTCCATTTTAAACAAGAGACCTCTCAAAGTGCCACATTACCCTCTGCTTACATCTCATCGCCCAGACCTTGTCAGTTCCATCCATCTGTCTTCAAGGAAGGCTGGGGACTGTAGTCTCTTAGCCAGTTGATAATGTGCCTTGCTGAAAATTGGGGACTCTTACTAAGGAGGCGGCCACTTTATATTTGATGATGATGCTGATATGGCAGCAGAGTATTGGCCAAAGGACCTCTCCTTGGGGAGAAGGTAAAGAGACTGAGGTTTAAAAGAATAAATGGCTAAAATAAGAGAAGAGCTCCCAAGACAGTGCACTCAGAGAGGGGTACTATAGAATTCCTTTTTCTTTCTAACATTTAAAATAATATTTATCGAATTATTTTATGATTCCCAAAATAGTCCTGTTTTTTTCTTCACAGTAAGTACCAGGTTAATAATAGCCACTATTTACCTAGCATTTTTTATATGCAATGTCATGGCAAGCAGAATTCATGCCCATTTTATTCCAAGAAGAAATAACTGAAGCTCAGAGAATCACAGAGCATTGCTCAAGCTGGGATTAGAATTCCAGGCTATCAACTCCAAAGTCTGCTCTGAACCATCATGCATGGGTTATATGATCCCTCAAACACATCCTTTCAAGTCCTAGTTTCCCAAAACAAAAACCTAAATTGTCACATCTTTTATGGATAAAGACCTGTTATTTACCTAACACATTTAACCACTTTCTATAAAGGTTTTGTCTGAAGGAGACTGTCAGCATGGCTATTTATGGTTAGACTGCTAATCAACCTTCAGCTATTTGTATAGCACGTAATAAATAACACTGCTCACATATAAAGAAAGCAGGTCAATGAAATGTGCACAAGATAGACCTGTTAATTTTGGAAAATTTGGAAAAGAGAAAATAAATATCTCACACTTCCTGACCTCAGAGATAACCCTAATTAACATTATGGTGTGCTTTACCCCAATTTTTTAATACGTAAATAATTAATTTTTAACAAATGAACAGTGATCATCCTTGTTGTTTATACTAGTTTTAAACTGTGCTTTTTTGACGTTTAAACGTCTTCCTCCTACGTTTGTCTCCCGTCTGGGCCCCCCACCATGTCCACTGCTGGGGGTAGTTGCTGTGTATCATATTGGGGTTTATTTTTGCACATTTCACCAAAAAGAAACTTTCATATTCCTCCTGCCACTTCTTACAGAACTGCCAGCCCATCACACAGGGCTCCTGGCCCTGATTTTTTCATTCGCACACTGTTACACACCTCGTTTTCTGCCAGAGAAGCCCAGAGCTTCTCTCTTTCACAGCTTCCCGCTCTGTGATGGCCCCATTTATTAAACAGCTCCCCACTGATGGGCACTTGGGAGGTTTCTAATCTTTGGTTATTACGGACAAGCAGCAGCCCCATGGCTCTCATTTGCACGCACATGCAGACCCAAGGACAGAATGACAAGAAGTGGAACTGCCGGTCGAGTGCGTTTGTAATTTTGATAAGCATCATCAAATTGCCCTCTACACTGACCATCCCTCCACCAGCAATGTA